GCGTATTGGTCCTACGCTTCCACCCACAACCAGGGCCTGTCTGTGCCAAGACAAATCCCAAACACTCATGACCAACTTCTCCGGCAAATGATCAACATGGCTTGCAGTAGCCCGTGCAGGTCTGACAACAACTACTGCAAAATGCATGATACAGTCAGCCTAACCATCGACAGAACAGACCTCGGATTCACAGCCATCCAAACACCGACGAGGCATTACGCAGATGGAGCACGGAGAGCTGCCTGAATGTGATCGAGTAAAACCCAACTACTAAGGAGTTCTAAAGCGGGAACTTAGCTCTCACAAGCAAAGGGGATTAGTGATGGTCACCAAGAAAGCCTGATGTGACCCCGTCCCTTACCGACTTGACAATCATATCACAAAGACACAAGGACAAGCATGCAGGACTCTCTATGATGATCCGCAAACTTGTCAATTGCCATACCAATTAGGTCTCTTGGACGACCAGTGGATGCACCTGTTATTTATATCGATCGCCTTCCTCAATCCTTGTCAAAGCACAGCCAGGTTCATGGGTCCGATGTGGTCCGGTGCATCTGGGATCCCACGTATTCTAGACGGTCAATCCATCGGAGAAACAATATGTACGCATGTACATACATTCGGTGGAACGATACGGACCAGAGTACGATCAATGCTACGATATGAGAAAAAGGAAATTTCGCGATCCCCAAAAAATATAGACGACTACCCGGTTGAACGTTCCCAGATGCCAACTGAGCTCTTCAATAACGGATAAGGGACGGACAAGGACCAAGAGACATCTCAGCGTAAGGCGATATCGATATTGTCCTCCTAGTACAAGATCTCCCCCACAGAAGTTAGTGTGGATGGTCCCCCTGCTCGAACTTGCTCGACCATGGAGTATATTAGGGTTGTCCGACCACGGTTTTGCTCTGCAGTACTCAATGTGTCAACTCAGGACCATATTTTACGTTAGCGACTTCTTTTATGAACGGGATGTGGGTGGCGAAGGTGCATTCGACATTCTTCGAATCAAATATGCAACCACTACGTCCATGCACGGAATCTTCTGGGATATCCCTTGTCACTTCTACAGTGATGCGTCGAAATATGGGGCTTGTCTATGGATTACTCGGATACGAGACGGTGTTAAGCTCCCAATCCTTTACGATTTGTTCTCCCTGTCCTCTACTGAATGCAAGTATCCTACTTACAAACGTGGACTCCTCGAGATTGTCAAATTCGCCAAAAAAAAAAAAGTATGACCATCTCTTGCAAAATCCTCAGAGTCCAGGTGTCTTTCACACTGATTACAAACCTCTTGTCCGTTTCTTATCCTCAGACAACCCATGAAGGAATCTATGAAGGTCTGTGAAGTTCTCTACGACTCCCATGATCGCTCTGGTCATTGGGGCAAAGCAGGGACTCTGGAGAATCGGCATATGCAGGTACGCTTGCAAAAGGCAAAAGCAACACTCTTCGCAAGCTACTCCAGATCGACTCATCGCTTACTTACGGTCATGACTTCCTCCTAACTGCTACACTGACATAAGCCTCAGACACCTGCACGCGCCCGGCACCAACGCTCTTGGAGCTTATTTGCCATCTCCGACTTCTAATATCTGCCGCCGGGGCACCCGTGAGCTGTGGTCAGTGACTTCTCTCATGGGGAGATATCAGCAGGGAGAATCGAATAAAAGAAAATCCCCTCTTGTCGTCGAGCATCACGCCAGGCTGTGGTCCTGCAAGGAAAAAAAAAACTACGCACCGCCATACGACCAGCGACGACAGAGAGTTCAATCCCTTGAAGACTAAGAAATACAATACGTCTTGTTTTAATCAACAGCAACGACAACATCAAAAGAAAAAAGTGCAAATGAAAAGGAATAAAGGAAGACAAGGACAGAAGCATGTCAAGACACAGTTTGTACGACTTTATGGTATGATATACACAGTCTCTTCCACAGGAAAAAAAAAAACCAAACACAAAAGAAAAGAAACAAAGAAAAGAATGGCGGAGACATGAGACATTACCGAGTATCACTCTTGGGTACAACACGGTGGAAAAAAATAAGGGTAAAAAGCACCCAAGAAAGCCATGAGAAGACCAGCGTGTACGACTTCATGATGTATTCTACACACTTCTCCTTCACAAAAAAAAAAACGAAAGAAAAAAAAAGGAACGCAAAGACGGAGACATGGAGACATCAACGAGTATCATTCTTCGATACAACACGCTGTCCCTCCCAAAAGAAAAAAAAAAATAAGGGTCGAAAAAAGCCAAAAACATCGACACCACGCAGGGATGGACTGAACGATGGAAAAGTCATTCAATAATTTATTATTACCATTGCGGACCAGATTCCTTGATACCCGGCGCATGATTCCGGCTAATAAATTTGGCCTCTAACATGGCGTCATCTGATATGGGGCTACCTTTGCACCCTCCAGACCATGAACGAGATCTGGGAGCGGAGTTTCGAGACCCGAAGCGCATCAGGTTGATCGAGGTGTTTGAGAATTCTCCAAGGATCATCCCCTGTACGGCCTGGGCTGGGCATTTTTTTGGTTGTTCAATTGCTACATGGACGAAAAGGTCAAGCACGCAAAAAGAAAAAACAAAAAGGAAAAGCAAAGGCAAAACTTCGCAGACGCCTATATGATGGGTCTGGAGACGAGGAAATAAAAAAGAAACAGTTTTTAAGAACTTTTCAAGAATCAAGACCGCTTGTCTTGTCATCGTCGAAGTAGCTCGTCAGGATGGAAAATGGGGAAAAAATAAACTAAAACACGGAAGACTACAAAAAAAAATGGCGGGATGGAGAATAATGATTGGTACCAATATGTTTTCTCAGTGATGGGACCTGCGTCAGAAAGAAAAAAAATGTCTGCTCTATTGGACTGGGTTGAGTTCAGAACTCGTCTTATTATTACATTTCTTTATTTTTATGTCGATACTCCTGTGCAAATCTGTCTCTACACCTCAAACGTTACAAGCGACTCATATCCAAAAAAACGCCGCACTGAACGTGAAGTCGAGGCAATCTTGACCTTGATGTGTTTTGTTTATCCATTTTTCTTTATTATTTTCTTGTCATTTTTCAACTTCGGTCCCTTGACAGCTCGCAAGCTCCTGCTCAATGTGCGCGCACATCCTGCGCCTCATTCTTGGAGAGTGAGCCCCGGCGCTTGGAATGATGGTGATGTTGATATGTTGATGTGATGATGACCATTGTCAGAACTCATGTTGCGTCCGCACAGATTACGAATCGCATGTATATAGCTGTTATTGGGGTGATACATACAAAATTGGATGGGTGGAGACAAGGATGACGATGGTGACGACGGGTATGAAATGGCGGAGGTATAGATATTTCCGAGATGGGAGGGATGGAGCGACATGTGTATGGCTGATGCCATGGTTTAAAATATAACTATCCTGAATGTAGCAAACAGAGACTAAGACAGTCTAGCAGTCTAGCAGTCAGCCAAGTTGGGGTCTTTTTCAAGATAACCACAGATTTCATCTTGTAGCACCTAGGTATGGAGTAGATTTTGAATGCCGTGATTGGTGGATGGTACCTCCCTAATCCAGCAGGTGCGATGTGGATACCTCCTTCCCTTTCGGGACTGGGTGGCACCTACCTAACCAGGTAGGTGGTTGCAGCTTAAGCAAGCCACTCCAGTTCTCCGCTGTTGACGTGCCTGCTAATCGCTTAAGCTTGTGCAAGCTACAATGCCTGATACTTGTTATTGGCAGTTGATGATTGTTGAGAATTTAGGCAAAAGATTCAAGCGTCGAGGGCCTGGGGTTGGAGTTGACAGCTGTTGTTGTGGACGAGTCGATCCATTGCGGGGTCAGCTTCCGCAATAGCTCCAGGATTGTGGGCAGTTCTACGGGGTGCTCTAATGATCGACAGACTCGTGAGCAGTGACCTGCAGGTCAGATTTGAATTATGGAGAAGACATGTCTCCTCCAGGTGGACCGTGGTTCTTTGAACGGTGGATGGCGATGGCGGTCGCTTGTCTCAGCCTCCCAGAAAGATCTCGGCGGGTAGTTTCTCCGAGTAATAATAATATTGGCTGCAGCATCACGTCGGGATATTTTCCATCCCATCTGCCACTGATTTGCCACGAGGAGCTGGCCAGGGGTGCCGAGAAGCTGGGACATGCATTGCTGGGTCTTGATCGACACACGCTCGCCTGGGATGCCCTGAATCCGTGTGGCGACTGCCTGTAGCTCGTGGCATTGCATGCTCATAGGATATTTGCCTGGTATTGTGTAGAATTATTATTCTACTTATATTCTACTTACAGCACGCGAATTTGCTCTGTATTCTGATTATATTCATTATTCCTGGGCGTGCTGAGTCTCTGCCCCCGCCCGGAAACGGCGCCCGACAAGCCGCCGGACCGCCAGCAGACAAACCAGCCAAACTGGCTAGCCTCAGGCCGCTCCCTCTCCTCGCCCTCTGCCTCCCCGACCTACGCCTCCTGCCTCGAGGCATCCCCCGGTCGTCCATCGCCATCCTCCCGCCGACTGCGAGCTCCTCCATCGTCGCTGGTCTTTCCTCTGGCCTTGTTGCCAGCCTTCCTCCGCCCCCGACAACCATGTGAAGATGGTGTCGCACTACTGCGCCGCACGACCCTGCACCGCGACCAGTCTGTTCCTCGCCATCCATCCCCTCGTCCCCCAGAACTGTTGATACCCTTCAGCGACCACGAAGCATCGTCCTCTCCATCACTGACAACATCTCCCGCCCTTTACCGCCTTCTCACCTCCGCCTCAGCGCGCCGCAGATCCTTCCATAGTCTTACTTTCGACCTTACCAATTAGGCCGACTTGCCGCCGCCGCTCGCCGTCCGATCGCGTCCCTCTGATTACCCCCGCCCCCGTCTGTCCGCCAGTTGCGAATGATCCGGACGTCTTGTCGACCTTCACTCTTGCTGTGAGCGTCACCCTCCGCTTGACCTGGCCTGTCCACGGTCGTGGGTGATCACCGACGCTGTCCGTCATGGCGAGGCGGGATGGCGACCACGTACCCCTGGGCGGAAGACACGGCTCAGAGAGCTCAACCGGCAGCTGGCATTCGCAGTCGACCGTCAAAGAGGAGCACTACGAGCGAGTTGTGCGCCATGGAGCTGTCAACGGCCACGGAGTCTCCCAGAATTCCAATGAAACGAGGTAAGGATTGCGTCTTGTCGAGTGGCGTTCGACCCCGTCTTGCTTCCCTGTCCATGTCACTTGTGAGCTGGAACATCGGACGAAAATGCCCAGCATCAGCTCACAACTTCATCGCGCGAGAGACCTGTTGAAGGGAATTCAACACCGGAGTTGCGGGGTCCATCACATTCATTCATTCATTCATTCATTCATTCATTACACCCGCTAACCAGCCACGTTTCTCTCTCTGTCCATGCTTTCTGTCAGTGCATCGATATTAACCTGCAGCAGGTCGGAATCGGACAGCGAACAGTCTCAAGATGACCTCTATACCTCCATGTTCCCCGACTCCCCCCAACTCTCGCCCACCGACCAGCGCAAACTCCCCGGTTTGGGAAACTATCGAAAGGCCCTGGCTGTGCTAGGAGCCGACGATTACTTTTCCCTGAATACACAACAATCTGCGCCGCCCCCCGTTAGTTATCTCACTCTGAATCCCATCGCCCATGAACCTCTCGACCCCACGTGGCCCCCTTCCTCTTCCCCGACTAGTGCTACCGGTCCATCGGGCGCTTCTTTCCTCAACGACTCCTCCGAGCAGGAAAACTCGCCCAAATCTCCTGCTTTTCGCTCTGAGACCACAGCTACGGACACCCCGGACTTTGGTCATCTTCGTGACCACCGCCGGCCGTCGGAAGCCAGTGCCACGACGGTGAGCAGTATCGGTTCCAAGTCCAGCCAGCATGCCAAATTTCGCAAGCGCCTGCAAGAATTCTTCGGCGAAGATGCCCACGGAGGGTCGAATTCGCGCCAGAGTTCGGATAGCAGCCTGCCACATCTTCTAGGATCCCGAGAGCGCTCTGCTTTCCGTGACAGAAACAACTCGGTTGGTGCACGAAGTGCGCCGGAGAAACCAGGTGATGGCACCTCGTCCCCGAAGCCTTCTCGACCGCGAACCCCGCTCCCGTCCAGCGAAGTGGCCCCGTGGATGTACCAGAGTTCAGATGTAAGTCCCTCGCTCCGGAAGCTGGCCTGATGACCGCGCTTTCCTTTCCTCCCCGATATGGGACTGCTTGCTGATCATTCTCGTCGCTACTCTAGGATATTCGGCAATATGGGGAGGCTCCCGTGCGACCAGAACCAACTGAGCCCGACAGTCATCGATTCCTCCATACCAGTAATGGGGCCTCGTCGTCCTCGCAGAAAGAGTCGCACAAACTCCCGTTTCCGCCGCATCGTCATTCCCGAAGCAGGGATGGGAAGCCCCCGTCATCGGGCTCTGGTGATTCCTCTCTCCATCCACCCCGTTCTTCCAGCGGCAGGGACGATACCGATCCGAATCTCCGCCTCCATGACGCCGGAGGCCTGCTCACGGCGACGGCCATGAGTTCCAGCAGTACGCTCGCTGGTGCACGTTCGGCCAGTCCAACCCCAAGCTCTCAGAGCGCCTTCCTTCAACATCGAGACAGTTCGGGTCAAGATTCTCCCGGAGTGCCTCCCAACAAGCGTTCCCTCTTCGATAAAATCCGCATCCCCAAGCCTCCCAGTTCTCTGAAAAGTCTGCCGGGATCGAGCAAGTCCCTGCAGGATCCGCTCAAAGGTACGAGCAGAATCGCAAAGCGGGACCTTTCTCCTGCCCGGCGGCGCCGCCAAGGCAGCCTTGACAGCAGTGGACTTGGTCAGCGAGGGGACAGCTCGGAATTCGAGCGGAAGAAGGAATCTGGAAGGGGAATCAGTCTCAATCCGTCCAAGTTACGTGGCCGTCGCCACGAGGGCTTTTCGTCCAAAGATCCCAAAAATACGTCCGAACATGAAAGTCTCTGGACTTTCGATACCAACCTCGACCACATGGAAGGGATCATCAGCGAACCTCGACCCCTGTCGCCCACTGATCAGGGTGGTGGAATCTTTGACGGCGGCGTTCCCCCCGAAGACGTCACCAAGAAAGGTATGCCTGTCGGGCACTGGGACGCTCCCGAAAGCTGGCAGGTGAGGAAGCACGGGGACGATATCGTTCGCTCTCTGCCGCAATTTGACGACGAGATCGATTCCTCCATGCAAGATGACGGGCTGATGTATTTCATCCGGGTCTTCCGCATTGATTCCACCTTCGCCACACTCTCAGCACCCCTCAATGCAACCGTTGCAGACATCCTTCTCTTGCTCGGTCGGAAGTCTTTCTTGCAAGATGATCTGGGCAACTACGAGATTGTCCTGCGGAAGAACGACCTGTCGCGACAGCTGGAACACGGGGAGCGGCCGATTTTGATCCAGAAGCGGCTGCTGGAGCAGGTGGGCTATCAGCCCACGGACAGGATCGAAGATATCGGACGGGAGGATCACAGCTATCTTTGTCGGTTTATCTTCCTCCCGACCAAACTCAGCGGTTATGCCAGTCTGGAGAATGATCCGGGCTTCAACAAGAGCCAGAAATTCAGTCATGTCGATCTTCAGGGCCGTAGCTTGGTCACCATCCCGATCACTCTGTACAAAAGGGCGTCCGAGATCATTTCCTTGAATCTATCCCGCAACCTCGCGCTGGACGTGCCGTCGGACTTCATCCAGAGTTGTATCAACTTGCGTGAAATCAAGTTCATGAGCAATGAGGCGTGGCGGCTGCCGCCCAGCATCAGTCTGGCGACGCGACTGACCTACCTCGATGTCTCCAACAACCGGCTGGAACAGTTGACTCATTCCAATCTCGATCAACTGCAGGGACTGGTCAGCATCAAGATGGCAAACAACAAGCTCTCTTCGTTGCCCCCCTATTTTGGCAACTTTATGTCCCTGCGGAGCCTGAACCTGTCGTCCAACTGTTTCCAGGTCTTCCCCGAGTTCCTCTGCAATCTTCCCAGCCTGGTCGATCTCGACATCAGTTTTAACAGCATTCGCGAACTCCCCAATATCGGTCGGCTCAAGACGTTGGAGCGGCTGTGGGTGACCAACAACATGCTCACCGGACCGCTGGACCCATCGTTCAAGGACCTGGTGAGCATCAAAGAGATCGATGCGCGGTTCAATTCCATCACCAACGTCGACAGCGTGATGCATCTTCCCCGTCTGGAACAATTACATTTGGGACACAACCAGGTGACCAAGTTCAAAGGTTCCTTCCCGAAGCTGCGGACCTTGGTCCTGGATCACTGTCCCATCACCCAGTTTGAGCTGGATGGTCCGATCGTCACCTTGACCTCTCTCAACATCGCATCTGCCAAACTGGTCCAATTCAAAGATGCTGTCTTCGACTACCTTCCGAATTTGAACAAACTTATTTTGGACAAGAACCATTTTGTCTCCCTCTCACCGCACATTGGCAAGCTGCGGAAGTTGGAGTATTTCAGCATGATCAAGAATCCCCTGTCCTCGCTGCCTCCAACGATCGGATGTCTGTCGGAGCTGAAGTATCTGAATCTCCGAGAATGCAATCTGAGCAAGTTGCCCTCGGAGATTTGGTACTGTCTGAAATTAGAGACCCTTAATGTGTCCTCGAACGTTCTCGAAAGCTTCCCTAAATACACGGGTCAGCCACCAGTACCACCTGGTGAGCAACCGCAGCAGAACCTGACGCCGTCGTCGACGCCAGGCATTTCCAGCCCTCCCAGCTTTGAGAATCTTGGCTCTCTGGAGGACGCGAATGCACGACGGATTAGCCAGGCGTCCACTGGACTTCTCAGCGTCGGGAGTGGCGGCGCGGGCCGGAATAATTCAGTGGTCTCCAATCCCGTCCCTGGAGGACGAAAGGCGTCCACCGCGTCGCGCGCTTATACCGAGGCATCGAGCTCGTCCAGGAAAGACTCGAACTTCTCTCAAAGGCTGGCGACAACGTTCTCGGGTTCATTAAGGAACTTGTACCTGGCCGATAATCGTTTGGAGGACGACATATTCCGTGAATTGGTTCATCTGCCGGAGTTGCGTGTGCTCAACCTGTCCTACAATGAACTGACCGAGCTCCCGCAGGGATTGCTGAAGCGCTGGCAACATCTAACAGAGCTCTATCTCTCGGGCAATGAGCTCACTGCGCTGCCGTCAGACGACCTGGAGGAGACCAGCAGTCTGCGAACCCTCCATATCAACGCGAATCGGTTCCAGGTTCTCCCGGCCGAACTCTGCAAGGTCAGCAAGCTTGCTGTCTTGGATGTCGGGAGCAATTCGTTGAAATACAATGTTTCCAACTGGCCCTATGATTGGAACTGGAACTGGAATCGCAATCTGAGATATCTAAACTTTTCCGGCAACAAGCGATTGGAAATCAAGCCCAATATAGCTACCTTGGGACCTGCCGCAGTCAATGGAACCGATCTAACTGGTTTCAATTCCCTTACACATCTTAGGGTCCTGGGGTTGATGGATGTCACACTCACCATAAAGACGATACCGGAAGAAACAGAAGACCGGCGTGTGAGAACGTCGGCCTCGCTCGCCGGTTCGTTAGCGTACGGGATGGCAGACTACCTGGGCAAAAATGAACACCTTTCCATCATTGACATGATGGTGCCACGGTTGCGGCCGGACAACATGGATACCCTCGTGGGTCTCTTTGATGGCCAGTCCCAGTCGACCGGAGGTTCGAAAATAGCCAAATTCCTCCACGAGAACTTCACGTCTACTTTTGTCGAGGAATTGAAGCGATTACAGACGGAAGAGACGCCTCTTGATGCCCTGCGGCGAACTTTCCTCAGCCTCAACAAGGACATGGCGGCGGCCGCGTACAAATCCATCGATGACAAGGATGTTCGTCAATACTCTCGAGGCTCGAGCGCCGCGAAATTGTTGAATCAAGACGACATCCACTCCGGAGGTGTCGCCACGGTACTCTATTTGAGAAACATGGACTTGTATGTGGCCAACGTTGGCGACGCTCAGGCGGTCCTGGTCAAGTCAGATGGATCACGAAAGCACCTGACCTGCGTTCATGATCCTGCCGAGTCCCATGAACGGGCCCGAGTTCGAGCAGCCGGCGGGTTCGTCTCCCGAAGCGGGAAGCTGAATGATGTGCTGCCTGTTTCGCGGGCTTTCGGATATTTCCAATTGATGCCAGCCGTGATCGCTGCACCGCATACGGCGCATTTCACCCTGACAGAGCAGGACGAGATGATCATCATGGCGTCCCGAGAGGTTTGGGAATACGTCACTCCGGACGTGGTTGTCGACGTTGCGCGGAGCGAACGGGGAGATCTGATGATCGCAGCCCAGAAGATTCGCGATCTGGCCATCGCATTCGGTGCAACTAACAAACTCATGGTGATGATCCTTGGCGTTAGCGATTTGAAGAAGCGTGAACGGTTCAAGTTCCGAGGTCCGAGTCTTTCAATGGGGCCGTCTTCTTTCCCAGAGGAAGCCATTGTGCCCAGTGTCAAACGCACCAGGAAACCCCGGGACGCACCTGGGGATTCCCGGCTTGCCCGTTTCGATTATGTCGACGCTCCCATTGGGGAGCTCGCTATCATCTTCACCGATATCAAGAAGTCAACGGCGCTGTGGGAGAGGTGTCCCGATGCAATGCGGTCCGCCATTCAGATCCACAACGATATCTTACGTCGACAGATTGGTATCGTTGGTGGCTACGAAGTGAAAACGGAAGGGGACGCGTTCATGGTGGCATTCTCCACCACCACGGCCGCTCTGCTTTGGTGTTTCAACTGTCAGCTGGCGCTGCTGGAGGCCGAATGGCCCACTGAGATCCTCGAGCAGCCCCAGTGTAAGGAGTGGTACGATCAGGACGAGAACTTGATCTTCCGGGGCTTGTCGGTTCGGATGGGCATCCACTGGGGAGAACCGGTGTGTGAGAAGGACCCGGTCACGAATCGCATGGATTACTTCGGTCCGATGGTGAACCGTGCGTCGCGTATTTCGGCTGTTGCTGACGGCGGGCAAATCTTTGTGTCGTCCGACTTTATGAGCGAGTTGCAGCGGACCCTGGAAGTGTACGCCGACAGTGAGCGCACTCCATCGGCTGGGTCCGCCAACAGTGACTATAATTCAGATACCTGGTCCAACGTCCGTCGCGAACTCCAGCAACTCAACAGCCAGGGTTTTGTGATCAAAGACCAGGGAGAGCGGAAACTGAAAGGTCTCGAAAACCCTGAGCCCGTCTATCTCGTCTATCCTCATTCCCTGTCTGGCCGGATCGCGGCGCTCGAGGAGGTCCACCCTGCAGACGCCCCGGCTCCAACCACTGTATTGAGACACTCGCAGCTTGAGATCGACACTGACCTGATCTGGCGTCTGTGGGAAATCACGCTCCGGCTGGAGAGCCTGTGCAGCTCTCTGGAAAACCCCGGTCAGGCCCATCTCAACAAGCCGAACAATGCTCTGTTCAATGCGCTCAAAAGGAGTGGTGGAGAGCTGACCGATTCTGCTGTTCTTGGCCTGATCGATCAGCAAGTCACACGCATTGAGGTATGTTCTGTGTGATCTTTTATGTCCGTTTGAGCAAGATTTGCTGACAGTCTACCTCACAGGCATGTGTCAACACTCTTGCGGTGCGCCACATGATGCGTCCCTTCAAGCCAGGCGATACGTTGAAGGATCACGCAGTCCCTATGAGCGAGATCCTGTCACAACTCCAGACCCAGCTGGCAGAGTTCAAGGCGCTCAAGGAACAACTCGGCGGTGGTGAGGCTGGCCTTCCTGATCCTGCCTCGCAGATCGCCGTGAACATAATGGCGCCAACGCCAGAGAGTGGACGGAGCGGGGTCAATTCATCGTCCTCGTCTCATGTTGGGCACTTGACTCCATCCGCCTCTCCCGAGCGCTAGGGGGCTGTAACGGGCAGCTCCAAGTGTGAAGATTCGAATTGGGGCCGCGTCTTTCGTTCCCTTTCACCTGTTTCTTTTTTCTTTTTTGTTTCTGGGTTTCTTTCCATCACTGGCTGGTTCCTGATGGACCCAAAGCAAAAGACCACAGTATTCCAGCTGTTGGATGGCAATGGCATCCTTGGGCAGGAGTGGTAGTTGTATAAAGTTTTGTTATTGTTTCTTCTTTGTCCTTTGTTTTTTTTTTTTTACTTTTTGTTTTTGCGGGTTTCTCACTCGAGGGCTTTGCAGTTATGAGGACCACGGCTTTTTACATGGCATGACTAGGGCGTGTTGATTGTAATTAGTTTTTTTTCTTTTCTACGCATCGCTGACGCCTTTTTGGGATCGGTTTGGCGCGGGAAGCATATGTCTGTGTCTGTACTAGGGCCCATGGTCAGGGAGGGCCACCGTGATCTGTATCTATTATGATGTGGTCTTTTTTTTTGTAGCTATATTTAATAATTTACATATTTTCTATATATTCGACGGCTTTTCTGAAACGAGGCTCAGTGATCTCTCTTGAGACGAAGGCGTAATTGAATAGTTGTGGCTGGTGTGGCTGTGCTGGTACTGTGGCTAGTAAACGGATCATGTGAATCATGTGACAACTGGCCCGCTGTTTACTGACGTCGGAGTCCACACGCCCCTACGCCTGGTTCACTCTCTTCTTTGTTCATCTCCTCTTGCGTCTGTCCATCTCTCTCTTCCAATTCATCGAGGAGTCCCAAATCTATTGATCATTCTGCACTAGTTTGTCTCCTAATCTTTCCAAGAGTCGTGAGAGGCTGTTTATAGGTAGTCAGATTTCAGTCGTGGTGTGGTCCCACTGCGCTGCCTGTTAGTCCACCTGTTGCCCTGGATACCGCTTACCATTCAATGTTTCCTTTTCAGCACAAGCGACTTGCTGCACAGTGATCAAATTGTTATCACACCTGACTTATCATTGAAAGGGGAGAAAAGGGTACTGTGTGGTCAGTGGTCACTGACACCTTTGCGTCAGTGTCTTACTCAACAGCTGCATATCGCATGCTAAAGACCAGGTGACAACTTCCCTCTGACCGTGCTGTGCGTTCTGCCAACTTGAAGACAAGTAGTTGTCTCCTGGATAGGACACGCTTGTCGTGCAGCTGCACAGTGCCTGTATCACACCATGGCTTCCATCAACGGCTTGGATGACCTGGATTACCTCTCTCCCGACTTCGACCTCAACAGTCTCACTGTCCCCCGGCTTCGTGCCATTCTCGTCAGCCACGATGTCTCCTACCCAGCCTCGGCCAAGAAGGCCCAGCTCATCCGCATCCTTGAGGAGGAAATCTTGCCCAAGGCTAAAAAGTTGCTGCGAGAACGCGAGCGTGTTCGTCGGACCAGTGCAGGCATTACTGATATGAGCAGCCAGTCCACGTCCGCTACGAACGACGATGATGACGCCGATGAGCCGGATAGGGAATCCATGCCGCCGCCACCAACTCCGTCCACGACATCAACCGTGAGACGAGGCCGCTCCAGACCGAGTACACGGGCTTCTACAGCAGACACTGACGAGAACACGATGCCTCCTACGCCAAATTCTACACGCAGACGCCCTGGTCGGCCCAGCAGAAATACCCGTGTGTCGGATACAGAGACCGGGGAGGACACTGTCGCTACACCATCGATGGCAGATGCTACTCCTCAGACAAGATCCACAACACGGAGAACACGGAGAAGCGAGGCCTTGCACTCGACGGAAGCAGTCGAACCATCTCCGAGCATTAAGACGGAGAGTCGGGATGGCAGTGTGTTCACCGATGACAACCCATTCCAGAGCGGAAGCTCGCCCACATCGTGGGACCAGACGCCCCGCGCCCAGACTGTGAGTGGGGACCGGAAACGGAGGAGCACTCCTCGCGTGTCTGCGGAAAGTGGTCTGGCCAAGGAAGAGCGGTGGAAGAGGACGTCGGAGGTACCAGTGAAGGTGAAACAGGAAGAGGATGACATTGTTGCCACAAAGTCCGCATTCCAATCCCCAGTCTCCCGCTTGAGGACGCCTTCTCCAAAGGTGGAGGAAGACTCAGAGGACGAGGAAGTTGTCGCTGGCGAAGAGTTCACGCCAGAGGAGCAGTTGGCTTTGGAGACGGAAGAAGCGGAAAACCGCCGTGCCGTCACTGCTCGTCGTCGACCCCGCAAGCAGGGTGCGGCATCCCGGGCGGCTCCCTGGATAGTGATCCTGGCGCTTTTGCTCGGGTTTGGCGCTTGGTGGCGAAAGGAGAAGATTGAGATTGGTTTCTGTGGGGTGGGAAAGACTCACTGGTCGCTAGAGGAGACGAATGTACCGGAATGGTTTGATGTATTAGAACCGCAGTGCGAGCCTTGTCCGCCGCACGCATTCTGCTATCCGGGATTCGAGGTGCAGTGCGAGCGCGACTTCATCCTCAAGCCGCATCCGCTGTCGCTGGGCGGACTGGTGCCTTTGGTGCCGACGTGCGAACCGGACAGCGAAAAGTCACGTCGCGTCAAGGCGGTGGCGGACCGAGCGGTGGAAGAATTGAGGGAGCGGCGTGCCCGGTACGAATGCGGGGACGGACAGGAAGTCAAGTCGGCTGCGGTCAGCGAACCGGAACTGAAGCAGACGATGATGAAGAAGAAGCGGAAGGGGATGAGCGATGCCGAATTCGATGATCTCTGGAAAGGCGCAATCGGCGAGATTGTTGCACGAGAGGAAGTGACGAGTCAGCAGGGGTAGGTTTTTTTTTTCTGAGTCGTTTTCTTTTATCTTTTTTCCCCCTTCTCCTTCTGGCGCATGTAGTGTCCTGTCTGAAGTTGTTTCCTCACGATGATAACTGGGTTCTGACAAGGGTATTCGACACTAACAGAGACCACCACACATTGACAGACCCTCCTCCGTCCTCACGCTCTCATCCACCTCACTCGCGCGACTCCCGATCGGCTGCGCCCTCCGCCGCCACCTCCGACTTTCTCTCCTCGCATATCGACTCCCTCTTTCAATTCTAGTCATTGCCGTGGCGGGACTGGCCTACGTGCGGAGGCAGATTCAGGCGCGACGCTCGGACATTGCCCGCGTCCCTGAGCTCGTGAGCACGACCCTTGATCGTCTCTCGACGCAGGCGGCATTGTATGCCCGTGGAGAGGCTCCCGAGCCGTGGATCCCGATCGGGCAGCTGCGGGATGACGTCTTGCGCACCGAACTTCGCGGCAGTCGGCGCGAGGAGCTCTGGAAGCGGGTGCGGAGTGTGGTGGAAGGCAATGCCAACGTGCGGGCGGCCGTCCGGGAGGGCCGCGGGGGAGAGGTTTCCCGGGTGTGGGAATGGATCGGAGGGATTGGCAGCGTGGATAGCGTGCGTCGGGAGAGTGGCCGTGTTCGTTTCTCGCTATCGCCTGGCGAGAAGATGGGTTCGGAGGAGCAGGATGGTGATAAAGGAGCTCGGAGGGAGTCACGGAAGTGGGATGAAGGACGGCCTATTTACTGATCTTCTTTCTTTGTATGCTTTTCGTTTGTGTACATATATTATGCTGTACTATTGATGCTGTACTATCTTCATACCCTCTGGTGTTAAACATGGATTGATTCTTGAGTACACAGTGCAATATTAATTCCTTAAGGCATCCATCAGCGGTGTGCATAAAGCCTATTTATTACAGAGTATTTATTAATATTATCGGGCCGATTCGAATCGGAATGCACCCGTCGGGATTCCATTCGGTCCGACGAGCCGGTGTGGACAGTGGACAGTGGATTCTCTTATCACGCAATCCAATCGCCCCATCGATCAGGAATACCGTAATTTCTCTTGAGGATTATGATGGATAGATAGGCAATCAATGAATTCTGACACTTGCCATCCCATCCTGTCCAGACGGTGACTAGTTACTTACTCTTATATCTGTCTCTTACTTCCTTGCCGAAAGGCCCGAAACGGCAGCAACACGGCATAATGAAGGGTTCCTATCCTATCTCCGAGCCGAACAAATATTAGGTAACTAATGAAACTAATTGCCTAGCCTAGGTCCACTGGAGTCGGGACGGGTAACAGGGAAAAAAAGAAAAAAACAATTTAATACTCTTACTTACTCCACTTTGATGTGGATCCCCTCACTTAGGACTTTACTTGCTATGTCGCGAACGAAAGAACGAACGGACTCGCGAGATTTTTTCAGGTGCAGGTTATCGATTTAGATTGATGGATGGGTCTTTTTTTTCTTTATCAGCTTGCTTTTTTTTTCTGAACCTGAGTGGACCTAACCTAAACTAAGAGACGCTGAGCTGAGCTGAGCGAAGCTAGCTAAGGCTGCGAAGCTAATCTTTCCTCGAATCTGTCTGTCTGTCTGTCCCTCTATCCTCCTTCCAATTTTCTTTCTCTTGCTTGTTTGCTGGCTGGCTTGCTTGCTTGCTTGTCATTCGTCTGTTATTTTATCCTAATTACTTTATTTATCTTTGTCTTGGTCTCGGCCTCTTTCTTGCTTCTACTTTAACTTACTCTTCAAAAAAGACGTACTCCGTACTCCGTCCTCGCAAAAAAGAAAGATACATACAGCACTCGCCGGCCAGTTTACTACATACATACACACGGACAACGACAGGACAGCCCTGAAGGACCAAAAAAAAACAGTCCTGAACAATAAATAAATAGCTAAATAAATAATATGCTCGGCCTCCCCAGACTCTGTGCCCGGCTTCTTCGGCTAGGCCAACGACCACATTATCTCGCTCTGTCGGACATCGTTCCGATTCCTTCATCTCAATCCCTCCGATATTATTATGGCCAGCAGCAGCAGCGACAAGGCCTGGCCGCAGCCGCAGTTGAGCACCATCCTTCGCCATCTTCATCTTCATCACCGTCTTCATCGTCGTCTTCGACGACAGCATCGTCAACATCAACAACCAACACCACCGACGCAGAAATCGACCGACTCATCTCCAGGCACCCCCTCGCGCAATCCCTCCGTCGAGACCCATCCTTCACCGAACTGCGACCGCACCTCGCCATTCCGCCATTGCTGCGACCCACGCACCTCGTCGCCGGCGCGCTGTCCGGACCAGGCCGCGTCACCGTCGCGCCGTACATGTGGTTCTCGCGGAACAGCAGACGCATCGTGGCCATGGCGCACCTGGGCCGCGAGCTGTGCGGACACCCGGGCTTTGTGCACGGCGGGTTGCTGGCCGTCCTGTTCGACGAGGTGTTTGCGCGCTGCGCCTGTCCGTGTCTGCCCAAGGGGATCGCTGTCACGGCGAATCTGAACGTCGACTACCGTAGTCCCGGGCATCCGGATAGGCTGTATGTGCTGCAGGCACGCACCGTCGAGGTCGAAGGGCGAAAGGCCTGGGTGGAGGGCACGTTGGAGATGCTGCCTCAGACGACAACGGACCAGCAGAGTGGTAGTGGCGATGATTCCTCTGCGCCGGTGCTTGTCGCCGAGGCTAAGGCGCTGTTTGTCGAGCCCAAGTTTGCAGAGGTGTGTATAAACTAATACTGCCTGCTTGATTGATTATTGACTGACCTGTTTGAACAGTCCATGCCTAAACTGTACAAGTCGTGAGAAACCAGTCTCATTGAGATTGAGTATCGAGTAAGCTCGTATTATAGTGAACGATTACGACACACGAGATAAGGAATGAGATAATGACGATAGATAGACCATTTGATCGATTGGATAGAGGATACCATTCATTGTACTGTACATAATATATTTTTTTTATAGGCGCATTATTTCTGCTGTGCATAGGCATGTAATTAAATTCCTAAATAGACAGGTTCATAGAGTCTGGTTACGGAAAGAATGCCAGGGCAAACATATGTATATCTTTTTGCCCAACTGTGTCCATACTTAGGACTACTAGAATTGATACTTTCATAATACCTTACAATAATAGCTCTGCAGCGAATAATCCTCTGTCTTCTCTAATCAGTCAATTAATTCCTACATACATGTAGTACGAGTGCTGGGATAACATTCTGGGTCTGCAAGTCTGATTACCATCTAGATCCGATACACTTACAATTCCGTCCACCCAAACCCGAAACCATCAGAAACCGTCTCCATTAATGCCTTCCCTACAACCTTGCATTCTCTGGGTATGTGATAAACTATGACAAACACTAAGATTGCGTGTAGAATAATCGACGTCAACAAATAGCAATATCTAGATCTGACGTGTTCTTCATGACAGGTGGAATGCGCCCTGCCCCTCCTGGATCGCCATGATCAGCCGCTCACGCAACACCTCCAAGCTGCTGTAGTCCGGCAGCTTGAGATAGTTCACGCAAGTCATCACACTCGGCAGGTAGTCATCTGACTTGTACGGAGGTTCGCTGGGGCGGCACACCACAGTGAACATGGGCGTGAGACTCTTGAAACCTGCATGAGAGTTAGCAACAGAACAATCACTACTCATCCGACTGACATACCTCCGATCGGAAGCTTGGGGCTCCCCGTGACAAATTGCAAAAAGTCGCGGCGTTGCTGGTGGTTCAGCTCGCTCATGATCTGCAGCAGATTGCGCACACTCTTGCTGTCCATGTTGAAGCCATGGTCCGCTTTGATCGAGTCCATGAGCGCTACACACGTTAGCTCTCGCCAACTACCATACCGAATGACGAGCCACTTACTTTCAATCGACCAGTCCTCCTCAACCCGGCCAAACAGCATGACCAGCTCATTCGGCGTGAACGTTCGAAGCGCCGAGTATGGGAACACCTGAGAGAAGCCGGCTCGGAAGGCTTCAATTTGCCGCCGCACCCCGCTTCCCAAGGTCATGTCAATGACGCGATCCACATAGACATCGACATTGTCAATCGTCACTGCAACGTTCGACCCGTTCGGAATCAGCTCAATCGAGGGATACCCGGGCAGCGTAAAGTCCAGTCCCAAGTCTTCCACGCTGACGCCGTCGACTTGGATGTTCTGGATCGCTCGCACCTTTTCATCCGCCGACAGCGAGACGTCCTCACTGATCTGTTTCTTCGCATTGGCGAATCGCTTCAATAAAAGTAGAGAATTCGCCAGATTCTGATCGACTGTCCTCACGGTGCCCAGGGTCGGGGGAACAGAGGTTGTCCCAACGCGGAAGAAGGTGGGGTTGAAGTTGATGTCGATGATTCTCGAATCCAGCATGGATCGCGCCACGAACTTGCCAAGAGTCCTGAACAGTTGAAGTTGCTTCTTGCCGGCCTCCGAGGCAGCCTGCTCGTCGCTCATGGGCGCCGGGAAGAGACCGTGCTTGCCAAAGGCGTATTCGTCATCCTCGTTCGACTCGTTCTCCCGCCAGATCTTGAGCTTCTTCTTAGAAAACTCCTTGGAGACAGTCGAATAGAACTCGAGCGTCGGACCCAGACCGGTCCCAACTTCTTCAAAGTACTCGACCTCGAGGATGCTGGGCGACGATCCATACAACTCCATCACCTTCATGGCGGATTCCAAGATGCGTGACCGGGAGATACGGACCTTCTGTCGTTGCAGGCGGCCCAAGAACGGACGATCATCTCGGCGCTGATCGCGGCGACTATCGTCCGACTGCGAGTTCTGCCACCGCATCATCGACCGGGCATACCCAAACGCCGTCGACTGGAGGAACAAGTGTCGTGTCTCGAATGGGAACAGGAATGGGAACTCGCGAGCCAGATCCTCGCTCCAGCTCGGGAGACAGCCGCTGGCGACAATCAAGGGCTCCTCCAGTTGTCGGTTCAATTTGGCCGTGAGCTTGGTGTTGATGAACTGTTGCAACGATTCGGGTTTGATCGCAACCAGTTCCTTGCTCTCGGCCAGGAGATCGTCCAGGTGAGCATTGATCTCGTGAAGAAC